TGCTTGAGTGTTTTTCGAGTTCTCTGAAATAGAGTAGATGAGATGGCACAAAAATACAGGTGGATAATGTGCATTTTGGTTTTAACGTTGCATTAGTCCATGTGAGTGAGGAGCTAGTTTTGATCTGTGTAGGCTGGTGGGTGTGCATCCTCTTAGTTTTCTAACTGTGATTTCTCTAAATAAATTAAGTCTGGGTTGGAATATTGCTGTTGAGCTGAGGTCTTGGTTTGATGTAATTTACCGAGAATGAAACGATTTTGACAAGTTGACCAGAGTGAACCTTTTACGTTTATTTTTTGCTGACGGAGTTGGTTGCAGTCGTTAACGGTAATGTTATATTTGGTTGTTTACCTTTCAAGTCTAATAATGGATTTTCCAACTCTACACTGTAGTGTTTGTCGGTTTTTGGTTGGTTTTATTTGGTACAAACAAAATGAGACGCACTTTTATTGCAAATGTGTGAACAATTCCAAAAACAAACTTGAGGTCATCAGTTGAGTGTTGGTGCTAAAGCATTTCAAAACTTGATTATAATGAGCCTTTTAGGTAACGAGCTCAAGTTCTATCGAAAAGAAGCGTCAGGAAATTTATAATTTCAAATTAACAACAGCAACAAATTTCCTAGTTTACAGTCGAATGAGATCACAAAGAATATCAGAATAGAGAAGAAACGAGAAAAACATGCAACAGTGGTGTGTCAAAATGAGCCCTAGTGATAAAACTAGGAATTTCAGAAGGCTTAAAGCTTTAGAATTTTGCCTTTAGTTTCTTGGCTAGGGTAGGGTTGAGAGGCCGTCTGAGAAAATACTGGAACCATTACTTTTGTCGGTTTAAAAAAATGATAGAAGGAAAAACCAAGAAACGAGAAAGAATGGTAACTTTATTGAGTGAGAGGTGCAAGGAAAAAAACTGTCGTTTTGCAATGCAAATTTAGCACAGTCTGGCTCTCAGAGCAACTGTTTTGCAAGGCACTTCACCAAAAGCTCTTTTATATGATGTTATTGTTTTAAAAAATGAAATCGAAAATTGTTGCACTGGGTAGTTTAATAGCATCTTGTGATGTTGACAACTTTTTACCGATTAATGACCTCTTCGTGTTTCTTTTTGTTCCAAAAACTTGCCTAGAGAAAATTAACACGAAGAAAGAAGATGATAATGCAGAACAAACGATTTTTAACGAAGACTCCTACAACAACTATGCCTAAATTAGAACATCTAAAAAAAAATGTAAAGCGTTGAAAATATCAAATGACTAGATAAAAATAATGCTTAAGTCTTCCTTGGTTAACGACGGTCACAAGGTCACAAAAATGAATAGATAGATAATTAATTCATCGATGGATTTTTGAGCGTTCAAGCAACAGTTACAATGATTCATCCTCACCAAAACTGTTTTCTTTCAGTGGGGGAACTTACAGATATACATGATTATTAAACAGATTCTCTTTCTGCTGACATCAGAAACACACACACACATGAGAAAAGAAAATAATGGCAAATTTACATGTTGTTTCACGTCACCTGTAATTTAAATTACCAGCAAAACTGTCGAAGAAACAACTTTTCTTTGAAGTTTTCTGACCGTTTGAAGTTTGGATTGAGAAGTTAACGGTCTGGGATCGACGACAGTAATACTTGCAAACGTCGAATTTGCAAATCCAAACATAAGTTACACCGTAATATTATCAGGGCTATATTTACTTTGTTTTTCTAACTTTAGTGATCTGTCCTCGGAAGATGAAGTCTCTGAGAACTGTTGAATTGAAGACGACGCAACACTAGGTTCAATGCATCCACTTTGTTGATTTAAGCCCGCTGTATAAGTTTGAGACCTTAGCTGTACACTTCGAGCGTCTTTTTCAAAGTATAAGACGTGGGACAAGGATCTGGAACGTGGATGAACGATGTCTATCAACTGACCTGAGGCTGGACTTTGTTTAGTTGTTACTGATACCAAGTCAGCCAATTGATCGGTTGATCGCCGCTTGTTCACCGACGGTATTTGTTGCATCTGTCTGTCGTCTTCAACATAAACTAAAGAAAACTAAGTTCACAAAAGAAATTTTATTAGTAAATAGAAGATTGCATACGTGCGATTAAAATTACAAGAAAACCTTTTGCTGAATACAATGGAG